AGCAAAAACTACTTGGTGGAAAAAGGCTGTGTAGCTTCTGTCACTATTCTTTGTTAACGTGATCAGCATTCCCCTTAAAGAACAGAGTCACAGAGACTAGATTAATGAGCTCAGTGTGCTGCATAAAAATATACTGGATAAATGAGCTCCTATATAATCTAGGTCCGCTGGAATACATCAGTAACGTGTAGACTGCACATAGTCTGATCAATAGCATAGTTACTGTAACTACGGTGATTATCAGGACCTGTGCACATGTGTATCAATCTAACTTAATAGGAGGCTGCTGGAAAAACAACCAGGAATGAACATTAGCAAACCCAGCTGACTAATTGCTGGTTCAAGGCTTTTTAGGTAATTTAAAAAATGGGGAGAAGTTATTCCTTTTGAGCATCAAAAGAAGCGTGGCCAGCAGGTTGAGGGAGGTGATTCCTCTCTGGTTGAGACCGCACCTGGACTACTGTGTCTAGCTCTGGGGTCTTCAGTACAAGCAAGACATGGAGCTGTTGGAGTGAGTCCAGAGGAGGGCCATGAAGTTGATCAGAGGGCTGGAGCACCTCTGTTATGGAGACAGGCTGAGGGAGTTGGGGTTGTTCAGCCTGGAGAAGAGAAGGCTCCAGGGAGACCTTATAGCAGCCTTCCAGTGCCTGTAGGGGGTCTACAGGAAAGCTGGAGAGGGACTGTTTACAAGGGCATGTAGTGATAGGACAAGGGATAATGACTTTAAACTGAAGGAGGGTAGATTTAGACTAGATATAAGGAAGAAATTCTTCCCTGTGAGGGTGGTGAGGCACTGGAACAGGTTGCCCAGAGAAGCTATGGAGGCCCCCTCCCTGGAAACGTTCAAGGTCAGGTTGGATGGGGCTCTGAGCAGCCTGATTGAGTTGAAGATGTCCCTGCTTATTGCAGGGAGGTTGCACTAGATGACCTTTAAAAGTCCCTTCCAACCCAAACTATTCTATGATCCTGTAGGTTGCCCCCCCCAGACGCAATACAAAATTTTTTGTGCCATCCCGGGGGTCTAAAGACTTCGAGAATACTTGACTGTTTAAAAGGAGCTGTCCTAGGAGAGAGGGTTGCAGCCGTTTGTCAGGCTGCAGCCTCAAAGGAAACATGGAGAGAGATCCCACAAGAGGGTGTTTGAAGGAGGAGGGTTCCTTGCATTCCAGGGGATGGTTGTTCAGGGAGAGGGTGTGTAATAGACTCTCTTGTTATTAACATTTCTTTTCTCTCCAGAGCTTTATTTCTAAGTAACAATATTATTTCATTGAAGAATATTCAGCTTAAAGTTATTAAAGAGTATCACAGGTCCTAAGGAGAGCAGAAGCAAAGCCACAGCTTTGTCTGCAGAGGACCAGTTTATCGCAGCCTGGTTTGAAAGTGAGTACAATTCTCATTGTCAACATCACCTTATATGTAACAGGGCCTTAACCAATGCGCAAATACGTACTGTATTTGCAGAGAGTGAGAGAAGGCAGAGGTACATGTAGCTTGGTAAGTGAAGTGTGAAACAGGAGAAAACTGTCTTATAAAGTTCTGAAACTAGAACTGTCTGTGTGAAAAAAAGAGATTAGATACTTAAATGGATGGTAAGCAATTCCAGAAATACGGTAGTTAAATATTTAAGTGCATGTAAAGGCCAGGGTAGGAGCAGGATTTGGAACAGAACAAATGTGCTTCAAAGTATAAACAAACCTCTTACTCGGGATAAGTGGAAATTTTCTCCAGTGGCTGAAACATCTAGTGCTAGATTTTCTTCTTTTTTAAGTTCTTTCTATGAAGCCGCTTATTCTGATTGTTTTCTGATATTGTGAAATAGTTTACCAGAGAAGATATGTATTTTCTTTTTTAACTTTTTCCCCATTTGCTGTTTCAGAATATAGGTAAGGATATATTATATTTCAGGCATTGTTTTGGAAACATGGTTTGGATTTTTTATAGCATTTTTGTGCCTAATAGTCTTTTCAAAATTCCATTATGATCTTAACTATCTCTGACTCAGTAGATACTTAAAAACTAGCTAGAAGTATTAGAAAGTGTTCTCACCAACTTTGATGCAACCAGCGATGGTTCAAATTGTCTAGCTGTAATCTTTATAACTTTTATGGTTTGAGTGAATGAATTGCCAGAAAAGCTTGGGAGAGCTGGAATTCTCTGGACTGTTCATGGAGTTTCAGTTGCTTAATTCAGTTTAATTTAAATGTATTATTCAAAATTAAATTTCTAATTTGCCTCTGGACTTGGGCTGTGGCAAATGTAGAAATGGCTCTGTGACTTCATTTAGCTTTGACTTTTTTGGCTCTGTAGTCATTAGTAGTCTAGCTGTGGAGATAACAAAATTTCAATGATTCATACTTGGGGGGGTATAATTTTGTAAACAAAGATAAACGTGTTTATTCTTATCTTTATGGATAGGTCAAGACTTAAAAGCTAGGGGCTTGAGTCAAACAAAAAGTCCAGAGATGAGCTGTAATTCAGAACCTCCTGCTCTTGTGAATGATGTCTCATAATCCTTTCTGCTTGTCCACTGCAAGTCAAAGCACATCTGAAAATTGTTTGGAGGCTGTTGGTTGATTGTGGGGTTTTGTAGCGTACATGGCATTTTATGCAAAGCTAGTTCCTCCACATTCATTTAATCCTGTGTCTTGTCAGGAATATGAGTTAAAAGATTGTAAACAAAGACCAAGGAGGGGAAAAAAAAAAAAAAGCTACTGTGTTCTGACACGATTTTAGTTCGTCAGAGTGCATGCAAGGGGGAAACTTGTGTTCCATTCAAATGACACACACGTATACAGAAAACTTGTTCTTTGTCTTGGCATATATTAAAGCTCTTGTTTTATTTGGCACAATTAATATATTTTAAGGTAGCATTTCCCCTGCCTTGACTTGTACAAATGCTGAAAACGATTGTATTGCTTCTTCAAATTAGTGTTGAGCATGGTTCACCATCATATTTGTATTCCACCATCTCCTTTTACAGCACAGGTTACTGATTTTTAGAAAGGAGAAGAAACAGCTATCTTTGCCTTGTCTTTGAACATCTGTATTTTGCAAAATCAAAGCAGTTAAAAAGTTACTCCTCCATTCTTTTTGTGCACTGGATTGTGTACTTCTATTGACTCTAACATGCTTAAGTTGTATATACTTTTTTTTTTTACAAGAGCATTTCCTCTGTCCCACTTAACTTCCTGTTTGTATCTTATATCCCAGCGACTGGATCAGGTAAGCTCTTGAGGTTCAAGAAGGGAAATTTGTGTAGTTTTAGGTGTTCACTTCTTGTCCAGGAATAAGCTGGAAGTATTCATTTTGAAAGACCTGAGCCTAAAACTCTTTTGGCAGCAACAGAAAATGCCTCCTTTTGTGCGCTTTCTCATGCATCCCATCTGCTTCTCACACCCTGTGTCTTTTGCATTGCCTAACTTTCTATTGGTTTCCAACACTCGCTGCTAGACTTAATCTTGCTTCAGGTGGCACTTGTGGCATACCATATATACAGGACATAGGTGAGTTTTTTGGCTGATTGAAATCTCAGCAGTTAGTCTTACGAGGTGGTATAACTAGTCCAGGACCTGTCTAGGTCATCTGTATCCTGTCTTATCTTTCCTTCCACATGGGCTTAGCCCAACTTCCAATGACTTCAAAATAGTAACTGTTATTTGTGCTGGACCAGTGCTGCATAATGGTGTCAGTGTGAGATCTCCTAACCTGCAGACCACCTAGGGCATATATGGTGTAAGTTCATTCGAGGTTTGAACCTAGTCAGCTAGTAACAATGCTGATGACTGCATGATAATGAGTTGAGTTACCCTCAGGCAGTAGCAATGCGAGAAAACCAAACATTGACATACCTTAATTACATGTCCCTTCCCAAGAGCTGCAGATCTCTTAAAAATAATGCATTCCTATACTGTGTACTATACTGTACTGGTTTTTAGTCATCTTTAGACTTCACTGGGGATGTGTATGCAAAAAATTGGAAACCACCGCATTATTTCTTCTTAATCTGTTACTTCATTTCTAAACTCGTTAAATCTATAGTCAGAATTTTGACTCGTTCTCTATCTTAAAATTTCTCTCTTTCTGATGCTTGGTGAGAGCAGTGTGGCATTCGTTTCCATTGCACACATTTCTGAAGTTGTTTTCACGTTACTAGGTGTAACTGGGGTATGGAGCCAAACTGCGTAAACGGCTGCAAGGTCTGTTTTGTGAACAGCTGTTCTGTGTTGGCAATCTGAACCGGGGCAACAATTTCTACACTGAAATACTCCGCATTTATATGTTGTTTGCAGAATTCAGATTGAATACTGGCAGTGAAGGGCACAAATATGTAATGCAATAAGGTGCTATTGAACAAAAGAACAGAAATAAATGGTCTCTGGTTTGTATTTGTGACCTACAGCCTGGTGGTGTCACTGTGGAGAGCGAGGGTTGGTTGGATTTCAGATAACTGTCCTCTCGATGATTGCTGTTTTCTACCTGTACTTTTAAATTGTCTCAACTTTGTCTCTTCTAGGAAAAACAAAATGAAGGAACTAGTGTCAAACAGTACAACCAATATATCTCAAGCCAGAAAAGCTGTGGAGCAATTAAAAATGGAGGCATACATGGATAGGATGAAGGTAAACTTGTACTTATTGTTGATTATTTGAATTCACTCACTAGTTTGTGGTATGACTGTCTCCCTTTAATATTGCAGAAAGACTCAATCAGCTGAAATAGAAAAATCTGTGTTGAGCTATAAAACGATATTCAGTACTGTGAATTAGTTACGTGCTAACTAATGAAGCGATTTCCAAAGACTTGCTTCTAGTCTGCCTCTATATGAGTGCCATTTACATCTGTCAGAAGTGGTATTTTGTGAAATATTTAAAATCAGCTGGCAGATGCACAGGTGCTCTTCTTTGTCACTTGTAGCTGAACATAAGTGCAGCTCAGGTTTCTCGGTTCTTCTCCTTTAAGGACTGGAATAAGTCTTTGAGATATTGCAATACTTTTGAATAATGATGAGACAAGCTGAATTGCTTTGCTTTGTTTTGTTTTATCACAGATGTCATTGCACAAAAAATACGTGTGATTGCAATGTTCAGTTATGATTCTTCACACTTGATAGCCTGTTGTACATGAAGATTTGGTTTTATCATGCCTCTAGATATATGTGGATTAAATAGTTTAACTAAAGATATGATTAAACAGAGGTTCTCCACCTTTTTAACTGGGAAAGCCTGTGGATTATTCTTCCCTGCCATTCTGTCTTCCACTAGGCTAAGATTTTGTGAATAAATCAAGCACCTAAAAACTCATAATGTCAGAAAGTTTTAAGAAAGCAATACTCATCTCTTTTGCTCTCTCTGTCTCTGAAAATAAGGAATAATTATTTGGATGAAAAATCCAGCCTTTACAAGTAAGAAGAGTTTAGAGATGGAAAGACTACAAAAAGGAATGCATTTAAATAATCAGTTTTTCTACAAGCAACTGTAACTGAGTTGTTACAAACTGTAACTTTGTAACTGAGGTTACAAACTCAGTAAGACAGTTTAGAAATGTTGTACATTAAATTCTTCATGTAGTCTTAATTCAATCTGTTTGTCCATCCATCCTGTGTGCTGAAATTCTGCATGTAGTCAGCATGGAGACAATAGTACATAATTACAATTTTAAAATAGTATCAGATCAACTCACTAATTATAATTATAGTATTTATAATTCAGAAATATTAGTGCAGTTCATGTGAGCAGTCCATCTTGCTTATATGAAAATAGAAAAGGTTATTTTTACACTTAGTTTAATTAAAAAGAACACAGCTTTTCTCTTAAAAAGAATATAAGTGTGGCAGACCTAAAAACCAGATAGCTTGAAAGTGCAATTATTTCACCTTTCAAAACAACTTGAGACCAAAAAGGCACCAAAGAAAATCGCATGTGTTTCAGTATTCTGAGGGTTCCCATACTAACATAAATGAAATAAAATTTGCAAAATATTTATCTTGTTCAGAGAAATTCTAGAAATTATATGAGGAAGATGTTAGCTGGCTTTTTATTCCGTCACGATCTGCTTTGTCTTTTAATCTTGAAACAGTTAAGTTTGTGTTTCTGTATAGCCAAATCTTACCAAGAGACTTTCCAGTGCTTTCAACAGAAGATTTTGAGTTCTCGAATCATGACTGTAAAGGCAGAGAAATGAACTTTTCTGCTGTTTCGCATCTGCTTAAACTAGTTACACACTTAACAAAAGATCAGTGCTTTCCAAGTAATTTAATTAAACACTGTTTTGCAAGTAGCTGTAGCCACATAGTTATTCCCATAATAGACAAGACCACATTGTTAACATTAAAAAGGTGCCTGCATCGTTGCGTAGGGAAATCAGAAGTTCCACCTTATTTTTCTACTAGAGAGGCACTTTCTTTTCTGTGCACAATGCTGCTGTAACCAGAAAGAGTTGGGTCTGCTCAATTAAAATCTTGTAGTTAGAAGTATGTTGATAGTTGCCCATTGCCTGCTGTGTACTGGATTTTTCAACTGATTTAAAAATCACGTCCTATAACCAGTGAGAGCAGGAAGCAGTGCAGTGTTCTGAGGTTCCACAAAGACAACTCGCTGTTGAGGTGCGAAAGAAACAGGACAACTTAAAAGGGGAGAATGAAGTTATTGATGTATTGTTTGGTAGTTGGAAGAGGAGTGTTACTGCAGTGGGTTTTTGTAAACCGTAGGAATCTCAGAAGGATCATAAATTGAACCTGCCTTACTTCCCCACAGAAGGAACAGCTAGAACTGTAACGGAGAAGTAAGTAGAAAGCAGGAAGCGCAGATTCCAAGCTAGGAAACATCAAATGAAATCAGACAAACAGTGGCCTCATGACTAGCAGAATAATGCATCTTCCAAAGATGCTAGCAGTACAGTTGAGAAAACAAAGATAATATTGGTGCTTTATCACAGTTGTCCCCAGAATAAAGCACTATTTAATCTTCTCTTTGCAAGCAGAAAAGCAAGGAGGAGTGCTCTGACATTTAAGAATCATGGTGTATCAATTATTATTCCATTTTCTTTTTTCTTAAGAAGGTAGAAAATATTCCTATCTGGTTCTGAATTGTGTTGGGAGATAAGCGGTGGGATTACCAATAACTGTGTGTGAATCCCTTTGTTTTAGATGCGAAGGATAAGCAGAGTGGGTGTCGTAGCAAGGATGGTAATTAGTCACAATCCATGACAAGACAGATGACATAGTAATTGCAGCATTTTGCCCTGTCATTGAAGCTTATAATTATTAGTGCAGCTAACAGGATTATGTTCTAACTTTGGCTGTTTTTATCACCTCTGTTATTCTGAAATATAATGGTAAAATTCCACAGTCCTCCTGAGACTAATTCTTTAAAGCATCAGGGTTGAGTGTTTTGTTGTTTTTTGGGGTGTTTTTGGTAATTTGACAACCAGATGTATTTTTCACTACACAGAATAAAACTAATTGTATAAAATGTGGGATCAGCGTGATACCTACGTACTCCATCCCCTCTATCTATGCACTTTAAAAGATTAAAAAAAAAATGAAATGTTAACTTTCTGTTAGAATTCATCAATCAAACCGGAGCCTAATTTTTTTCTTTAGCCACTTCTGCAATGTGTATAAATTACTTTGAATCTGCAGACCAAGCTGTATTGTGTAGGAGAGCTGAAATGATAAATGTGTTAGCTTCATTTGACTATTCAAATTACATGTGTTTGTTTAAATTCTTAATAAAAGCTATTCTGAAACTGTCCAGCAGCATTCAGCTACAAATAAACATAAAGGTGAGTAAAAGCTATGATAGAGTGGCCTTCCTTTAACTTCCTCCATGACACGAACAGGATGATCAGCACGTTGTTTTGTATAGTAACAAACCACAGCAGTGGCCATTAGGCGACCTCTGATGCTGACATACGCTAAAGCAGCCGTCTCTGCTGTAGCCTTAATGCGATGCTCAGTGCAGGGGTCTTCTGCCACTGTTGTTCTGAATAATAACACTGAGCAGGAAACTTGCTGGAGGCACTATTGTGTTTGCTCTTTTTTTTTTGGCCACAGTTCTGACCTTGCCAATGCTGCTCATAGCCGCAGGAACCAATGTTTTTATTGCTCCTGGAATGTGATCAGCTAACTTAACTCCCCTTAGTGAGTGGTCATTATTCCACTGTGCAAGCCTGAGCTACTTCACTTTAAGTGGAAAAATGGGCTATAATTCACTCTTATAACTACTGTAATCCCAATAGGAGGATTTTTCCTTCCAAAACCTTTTATTTTTTTAAAGAATGAAAGTACATGGCCTAGTATAGGTTTAGTTTGTGACAGTGTGCTGAAATGTGATCATGTCCCTCGGTTTCTTGTTGCAGCTTTGTTTTCTACTAGATCATACTATGGTTTGTCTAAAAGCAAACTGATTTGTGATTTAAACACTGTGACATGGAAGAAAGTGCTTGCTCTGCTTTGTGGCATTCACAGGAGCATTAGAGGACAAGTTAGATACAAAAATGTATGTTGTGCTTTTGCTAGTGAGAATCTTTTTTATTGTTACATAGTGTCAAAGCACAATAATATGTAGAGAAACAGTTAGTAAATTATATTACTGGGTTTATACCTTCTAAGAATGATGATTGAAATTGTACTTCTCTTCCATCAAACGAAAAGCAATATACTCGGGTTGATGTTGCTTATCCATACGTGGAACAAACAAGATAGTTAAGGGGAAGGTTGGTCTGGTGAAGTCCAGCGTTGGTTCTCTGCTCCTGTAGGGTCAGTCTACTTAAAAACATTGTTGGTTTCATGAATAAAATAACTTATTCAGTAGCTTACTTGAAGATGAAATGTGCTGGGCATCTTTAATACACCCTGTCTCTGGGACCCAGAGAATGAGATTAGCTCTCCATTGGGTTTTATGGTAGTAATATTTATTATGACATAGCACTGAAAGTGTCATTGAGCTTTTTGTGGGTGCTTGTGGCTCTGAGTTTCACTTGCTCTGTTTGAATGCAAGTGTTCAGGACCAGCTAATAAATTAATTGGAGTATAGAACTTCCTTAATTTGAGACACACAGCTGAACCTGAAGAACAATAGAAAAGTGAAATGTTTGTTAAATAATTGTGAATGTACTGATGATTGTCATTACTTGAAAATACTTCTCCAAAATGCTGTGGTGGTACATTCCTTCTAACATCCCTGGAAACATGCTAACCTCCTCAGTGGATGCATTCCATGCTAGTTTATACTTTACTGAGTTACAGCATAGGTAATTTGCAAAGGAAAGAATGTTTGCTGATTTTTTTTAAAATTTTTTTTATCTTTCTTGGACTTGATAGGAATTTCATAGTCTGCCTACATTGTGCCTCTCTTTCGAGAATCTGCTTTTTAAAAATTCACAAGTAAATTTAAATGAAAATTGGGAATATGATAGAATTCCTAAGTTCTCTGTTTGGCCATTACAGTTCTACCTTACTCTAGACAGTGCCCTCACACTCTAAGCCTCATTCTTTTGTCATTGCTTAGCAAGTAGCTACCTGAAGCATGTCTGAAAATAATTACAGTCCTTTCTTTGTACCTGAAGTTTTTGTTTAACCTGCTTCTCTTCTGAGAAGCACTGGTACTTCTGAATATCTCTGCTGATTTGCTCAATCTTTTTCTGCTTTGCGTTGGCCCGGCAATCAGTTGTTCACATGTAGTGTCTCTGCCCACCCTTTTGTCTTACAGGCCAGTTCGAAGGCAAATTCATTTTAAGTAACCTAAACACCCTTGCTTGGTCTGCTAGGAGGATAGTCTATACTGGGATGCCAACCATAGGTGCTTCATGGGTTTAGGCGTTCTACAAAGGCTTGTTTTAGTGGATATTTAAAAAAAAAAAAAATTCTATGTTATTTTCTTCCAGAATTTAATTTAAATTTCACATGAATCCTGATCCAACATCCATTGACTTCATAGTCTAATCTGAAGCCTACTACAGGCTGGACTCATGCCAAAGCAAGCAGGGTGTAGAGAAGCTAAAGCTAACAGTGATGACACACCTGCTAGAAAAATACCAGAAATCCAATTTGTTTTTCCTCTTCACTATAGTTGTGCAAACATGCTGACCTCAGTGTTTGACTCAGGAGAAGCTGTCATGGTGCTCAGAGAAAAGGCTTTTTGTAAAGACTTCCTATCTCATTTTCTCAACTCTACCAAAATATTGAAAACACAATAATTAGACAAAGCAAAGAGATACAGATAGTTGTAAATAGTTTGTTAACTGAGCAGAATAAAAATATGTTGCATATACATTCTAAATTCTTGAAAAATAAATGAGTCACAGTGGCCTAATGTCCCCAGTAGTCTTACGGCACAAAGCTGGTTTCAGCTACAGCTGAAATGGTTTAATCTTTCACTTTTCATTTCATGCAAAATATCTTGTATGCCAACATACTGTTACATTTCTGTAGGACTTTTTCAGTAAGCATAAACCAGCATTCTGAATTTGGAGACTTTAGAATTGTTCATTTTAGAAGTATAAAAATATTAAGATAAAAAATATTAAGGTATTGCTCAAGTTTAAATTAATGCTATGAATAGAGTGCTACTTATAATAGTTTACTAAGCAGAAGATACTAGTCTGACTTCATTGAAAAGAGCAATATTTAGCTTAAATGAGAGCTACGACACATGATGATCAAGTTTTGCTCCTGATTTATTATTTCTTTTTAATCCCACGGTTGTGTGCCTAAAGAACTGTTTGTTTGTTTTGCACCCAGAGGAGCAAAGAGCAGCGAGAGTTTGTGGAAAACCTTACAGCCTCACTGCTCAACTGACAGGGAATAAGAGCTGAAGCAGGCAGCCTCTACAGAAACACACGCTTCAAGGAGAATCCCTATTGCTTATGGGCCATTAGCATATACATGTTTTAATGAGTATATGGTCCTCACCTTCCTTCTGATGGAGAGGAACAGCTGAACATGAATCATATAAATTGATACCATCTCATGTCACTATGTTAAATAAAACGTATATAAGGATTATTAGGCCTAGTAAGAGCAAAGTCAGAATTATGGTCTGTAGAAATTTAAGGGATAAACCAATCTACTCCTATTTTATGATAGCCTCCATTATCATATGTTACATGAATAATATTTATGCGATGCTGATTGGTTCAGAATTAAGTGTTACAGTAGTTCTTCTTTTCTATTAGGTATCCAAGGCTGCAGCAGACTTATTGGCATATTGTGATGCTCATATTGGAGAAGATCCCCTTATTATTCCAGTGCCTGCATCTGAAAATCCCTTTAGGGAGAAGAAACTCTTTTGTACTATCCTTTGAGTCAGTTTTCAATTAAAAATGTCTTCTGCTACAATTTGGTATCTGTGTTGCATGCTTTTAATTTTAGCATTTTTTTCTCCAGATAGCAATACTTAGCCTGTAACTACAGTATTTTTAGAAGGTAGTGCATTTTCTGGTAAAGAAATGAAAATAAAAATAAATCAGAAAAAATTCACAATAATCCTTATCTTTCAGACCACTGTACAAGTTTAATTTCGGTTCTTCATAAAGATTATTTTGGTCTTAATGAAAGTATTGAGTACAGTATCAAATTGGAGATATCTTTGCCAGTCATAGATTTTTCTGAGACCTAAACGAGTCATACCAATTCTGAAGCTATTTTTAACATTCTTATTTTCACTGGAAGGTGAATTTAATTCATTTGCCTTTACACATTTATATATAAAGAGAGTTGTATGACCTTTCCTCAAGTAGCGCTATTTAGGAAAAAGTGCCAGTGATTTACGATGTTTGGAACAAGTAAGTGGTGTTTATAAATATGTTTTGTGAAGACTGTAATAAACTTGACTACAAAAACAATCTTAGTAAAGCAACATTGTAACTACAAGCAAAATGAAGATGTATAGTTACACACCAGGACCGTATCAATAAAACTGTAGAAAAATGTGGCTGCTCTGTGTCTTATTTTGAATGATAATGATTTAAATTATTTTAGAAAGTAAACTGAACTGTGATATATCAGCTGTTCCTGAGGGTCTTAGGGGAGGGTGTAAATTGGTGCTGATCAGTGCAGGGGGAGGGATTACATTTTCTAAGCAGCTCTCTACATGCTTTTGCCCATGAGAGCAGGACTTTATGGGGATGGAGAGTAATAGTAAATGATTGTTGTTCTAGCATATGCAGCAAGGTCACTGTGCCATCGACAGCCATTAAGTTTGTGTATTTTTGAAGCCACAGATTAGTCCTGAGAAGTTATCAGCAAGTAATTTGTGGAGGTTCTGGGAGGGTTTTTGGTTTGACTTTAAATAAAAGTGCAGCAAGAGGAAAAGAATGAGGTATAGAATATGGCTGATTTGTCATCTTCATTAAGTAAAATGAAGCTCAATCAAGGCATCTGATGGAAACAACTGTTACGTTATTGACTTTTTTTATAAAAAAAAATTCTTCTCCTTAAAAAAAAAAGGAAGCTTCTCTCTGGCCTGACATATTAGGGGAGTTCCCTCCCTGCAGTACTTTATTGACAGTGTGTCAATATACTGGAAACGTCAGTGCTTGGAAATGGCTGTGAAGTGGGCCCCACACATCAGGCGGGAGACAATTTGGTTTGACAACTGCACTGGTCTGAATGAGTCAAGGTTCTGAACAGCCACCTGCAATAGAGCATGCATCCTCCACACAAACTTGTATTCCATGAGCATCTTAAATACCTGCAAGAGGAACTGACCACCTTGGGCTATACTTAAATGCTGAATTTGGATGATAAAAAAGGGCACTTTGGTGAATGAAGCCATTTGCATTTAGCCCAAAGTGCACATACTTGCTCCAGCTTATTTTTAACAGTTCCCATCAGTGTTTGTTGTACTGTTTTGCGCAGTGGAAATACAAGCTGTGTTGTGCAAGTTTTGTTTTCTTTGCCAATCAACTTGGATAACGTGCCACACCCAACTCCATTCAGGTTCCAGTCTGGTCACGGGAGACAGGTGGCTTTGGACTGCGGTTCTGCGGCAGGCCAGCACATTCACCGCATCTGCCTAACGTGGAACCTCCATGTTAATTTATTTCCTGTAATATTACTGTGAAAAAAACAATATTCTTTCTAACCAATGCCTTTTGGGATGTCTTTCATTTAAAGGTTTGGGTTTAAATTTGGCAGCTGAGGACATCTGTAGTCTAGAAGCCATAGAGCTGCTTCACATTACCTATTCTGAAAAACATTCAGACGTCTTGACCAGGTCTTGTCTCGGCTAGGTTCATCCTTGGTTCCTGTTTCGAAGTTTTCAGTTTAACATTTCCATTCCTAACTTTTAATGAGAATATTTCTTAATGCATGATGTGTTCAGCTTTATTTTGGGGGGGGTAGAGAAATAGGCTTTAGCTAACCGAGGTAGCTATTTTATTGACAGTGAAATAAAAATGGCTTTCTGAAAATATTTGTTAAAAAGGAGCAACAAAATGCTTAATAAGGTTCTTTAGGGAATCCTTCCTACACTGTACACGATTTGGTAACTGCTCTGATCACCATGGCAACATTTTCATTTGTCCTTCCGCATGTATGGTTTTAACTGGAACAGCAAGGGAGGGGAATACAGGGCACACAGCTTTATTCTCAGAGGCTTTGTAACAACTTGCATTTGTGGCTCATCATTAACATTCCCATCTAAAATAACAAAATTGCCACAGCTTATTACGGTATTGCAAACAGCTTGCTTTCTGTTTCCAATTAGCGTTAACATTTGAGGTCCTGAGCTTGAAACGTTTCACAGGAGTTTTGAGCATCGCTAGTTATAAGAGCTGCATTTACAAAAATCCAGTATTATTTTTTCAGAAGAGGTGAATGTCATTGTTTTGGACTTAAGGTTTTCCTCCAAAATTTTTCCTGAAGTAGTGACGGTGTCAGACCTCTTATGTTTTTAATAGCTGGCTCCCATATTTGTGGTTTCTTTCATCAGTTCATAACTTAATCAGGTTTAAAAAAATAAATTGTTTCTACTAAGATGGTTTCATGCTTATAGTTTTAAAAAAGAAAACACATGGAGTACTGTAAATTGCACATTTATTTTAGCAGATGTCTATAATGTATCTGAAGAGGTTAAACTGTATAAGCATAACTCCTTAGTGGAAAATAGGACAGCTTGCTCTAATAGCATTGGGCCTTATTTACCACTTCCTTGAATTAATATATACTACTGGCAAATTACTAATTTGAAGGGGGAGGGCAGGGGGGAAGGGGTGGGGGGCATGCCTGGAAGATCAGCAGTTCAAAATAATTGTAACAGCTTTGGATCACATAAGAATATATGACTTTATGCAAGAACATCATCAAAATACTGTCTCTCTGAAGAGAATGGCATCATCTGGGGTTTTTTGTGCCAGCTTGATCCACAAAGCAACATTTAAAAGAATGTCTTTTCCTCCAATCCCTCCAAACCATAAAATGTCTTTGTCATTAGTATATTTTTGCTGCTTTGACCTTTAAGGAGGTGTAGATAATCTGCTGTTATAGTTGAGTTTCATGCTCAAACACCTTGCTTTAAACTCTACAAAAAAGTATCTGAAAGTTCTTGGGCATTTTTTCTAAAAATAAATACATATTATATCATGATTTAAAAAAAAAAAAAAAAGCCCTCCAAAATGTGGCTTTGTCTAACAGTAAGGTTTCCTCTAGGCTGAAGCAATGAGTTTTTATTTTCATCAAATGGTCTGATTTGATTCCCACTGACTTCAGTGAGAACAAGACCAGGCCTGTTACCCTCCCAGCACTGGATTCTTCTCTCAGTTTTATTTCATATGCCATTAAGGCTTGTCACTTTTTATTTCAGGCCCAGAAAATAATGCATGCTGACTGCTAGCAGTGTGAGTTGGTGCTGTCATCTCACAGAATGAGAAATTTGGAACAGAAGTTGCATTCAAGGAGTTCTGGACATTATTAGTAATTCTTTCTTCATATCCTAGTGCTAGCTGCTCTGATGAAATGTGACTTCTCAATGGTGAATTAATGGTAAAGTATAATGTATCAGTAGCACTTGTGGGGCCAGCTGTTTTGCATTTCTCAGATTAATCTCCTTGGTTTACCTTGAATTTAAAATGTTATCATTTCAATGCCGAAAACTATTTCCCTCCTCTCTATTACATACCAAATTCCCCTTCTTTGCTTCCTACATCATGTATTAAATTAGTAGCAGGGTGCTTGGCTGGTGCTAATAGGCAAGATTTTTAAACTAGTCTCTATAAAATGATGGTCAAAGGAAGGGAAAAAATGGAAGTAAGTTTAAATTAAGCTATTCTAGGTCACACCATAAATAAATACAAACTTTGCTGTCAGTGACACAAATACAGGAGGTGTTGCCAAGTGATTCGGAAGGACAGTTTAACAAAGCATTTTTGCAGTGACTTACAATAGGATCGGCTCCAGCAGAAGGAAAGAAGACTTTAAGAACAATTGTCTGGAAAGGTGCACATTAAAGCCTGGAACTTTAATATAGCAGTCATTTATCCAGTTGGATTTCTGATATCAAAGGAGTAACAAAAGATGCAATTTGGGAGCACCCGATTATATAGTTTTTTCCTATCTCTTCATTGTACGGGGCTAAAAATCCATATGCATAATTCTCCTAGAAAATGCCATAGTTACGGCTGTCCTTTGGGGCTGCATCAGAATCTGGATTTGTTTCTTCAAGGAGACTAAAGAAAACTTGGGGGAGGAGTGGTTCCTAAGAAACAGAGGTTTCTTGTACTGAAAACTAACAATACTTGAAGCCATTAGACTGACTTAAATAGTAGTGAAATGTGTGAAAAAATAGTGGGCAAAATTACCAGAATAGGTGCTATATAAAATGTTACAGGCACCTGCATATTTAGGGAGAATGATATTTGGAATAAATATTGTACATTTGTATCTAACTGAATTCAGCTTTATAGCACTATTAAATTAAGTACAACCATAAATACCAGAACTGGTATGGGAACAACTTCTCTGTCTGTCAGAGGAAGATGTATGTCTGAGTTTGTCAAGTACGTTTACACCACTCACACTTGTGAACAAACAAAATGAGCAGCTTTACCCTAAAACATGGACTTTTCTTTCCCAAATTCCTATTACAAGTAGAAATTGCACAGGATCGTCTATTACTGCCACCTACTGATAAAGTGATAAACAGCTGACTGAAACGGAAAAATAACATCAACTATAAATGACCTCGAAGGGGGATTTTAAATTAATACAGTCTCAGAAACAGAGAGCCAGCACTGTTGCTTTCATGGTCTGCATTGTGTAAGGTATTGCCTGTCACTGTGGTACTGCTGGAGTGTGATTCAGCCCC